CTAGGGACTGGAAGATGCTGGCTGATCTTGATCAACGGCTTATTTTTCCACCTGAGATTGCCACCACTAACCTACGACCAGATATTAGGGCTGCACGATTTGGGCCAAAATGATAATCACGATTATTTTGATCAATATTGCGATCACGATTAATTATCACGATTATTTGTTGATTTTAACCAAAACAAATTTTATTGCCACATAGGCTAATTATAACTGCTTTCACATCCATATTGTGCTACATTTCTGCTAATGTATGTGTATCTAAATAAAATAGGTCCTCTTATTCACCAAAATTCAGTGCATCTCCTTAAAGGGTCACTCCACCCATTTGCATTAAGAGGTCCATTGTTAGACAACCAGTCATACTATTGAATGGTCGTGCAACATTCTTTCATTTTCCCCTGAGACGAGAGAAATCTACTATTTACCTTTTTCACTTCCTCCTACAATGACGCAAAAATCGTCATTTGACGTCATTGTAGGAGGAAGTGTAAAAAGGGGGGATTTCTGTATAGACTACAAGCACAAATTCCCACCCTTTCAAACCCGCCCATAGGGGGTTGTGCCTAATGCGCTAACAGAGCTATCACAGATCAGTGGGTGGGACTTCACTTGCAGATACTGAAAGCAATATCAGCCATCTTGTTTATAAGCTAAGCTAACAAGCGCTGTGGAGATAGGAAGTTACGACAATGACGGAAGAAACTAAACATGATATGGAAGAAGAGGATTTTGAAATTCTGCTGCTCGAATCCGCTCTTCGTGGCTATCTTTACGAGCCGCAATATAGTGAAGAGCAGCTGAGGCTGATGGAGGATCAGGAGGCGGCTGCCTGTCGCGAACGAGGAGCCCGGACTGGGTCGAGCTGAGGCGGGCTGCTGGTGCGTGTGCTCTCGCTGTGCGCTACGGACACAGATAGAGTCCGTCTGCTGCAAAGAATTTCAACGATCGCAATTTCTCCTAGACGAAATCTCTGAATCAGACGACCACACGGACGTTTGTGTTGTGATGTGAACCATCCTAGTTTCGCCTGACTGAAAATCCAGGTATCATGCAATAATTCACCATATAGAAAGAAATACAAACGAGTAATTCACTAATGAGTTTGCCAATGTAACGGGGTTCGTTGTTGTGGGAAGAAGGAGGCTGGAACCGGCGAACATTTAAACATTTTAATAGTAAAATAAACAAATACAAAACAAAAGTATAAGCCAGCTGGCCACACACAACAGAAACAAAACATAAAATCAGGCCTGTTCCTTTTATGCTTCCGCTCCTCCGTGAGAGATATGAGACCGCTGCACAGGTGCCATTCATTATCACTCGCGTCGTCCTCTCACGTCCCTCGCCCTCGTCCTGCTCGCCACAGCCAACTAACTAGACATTTTTTGTGAAATGAATTTCAAACTCATTTAGCAGCTAGCCTTCTTGTAGACGGAAGAGTGATTTCTCTGATGTTTGCGCTGTTCTGGATTAGTGGGAGTGGCTTGCGGAGCTGTGCAACGTGGTGCATTGTGGGAGTTGTTGTCTTACATACAAATGCGCCCTAAAGTTATTTTCTGTCTTTTCTCGGTCAAGAGGGCACCAAATTCAAAATTTCTTTTACATTTCGACTACATATATAACCCACTTTCAATAAAGATTAATGTTGAAATGGGTGGAGTGACCCTTTAAAGAATAAAGAAAACAATAAAGAAAATGTAGCAAAACTTCAACAGGGCACTATTTTACATTTTACATTGTGTAAATCTATTTTAGGAAGCAAAATATAAACTTGCATTGTACCTGCATAATGGATGTGAATAAAACACGCAAAATATACAATCAATAAAAAAACAAATATTCCATAACAGAATGTAACCAAATGAGAACATTTCAAGGCAGAACTGCACTATGGAAGTTCGATTAATGGATGAAATTCAGAGTCATTGTTATTTGACGCTTAATAAATGTAAAATGTTGTGGTAGGCCTACAGTGTCAGTGATTAGTTGTGAAGTCTTACTGCATAAATTTAATCTATTTAATTCTCCATGTGAAAGTTTATGTGCTCAAATTATTTCTATTTGTTAAACAATAGGTCAAAACAAGACGTTTGTAGGACTGATTATTGGAGTCCATTAATCGAACTTCCATGCCTCTTATGTAAGGGTTAATGCCCGACGAGGTGTCCGTTGTCAGGTTTTAATGGACGACGGCGAGGTGTAAACCGGCCGACGCGCAGCGGAGGACGGTTGCCTCCGCCGAAGTCCATTAAAACCTGACAACGGTCACCTCGAAGGGCATTAACCCGCTTATACCATGGTCACTTGCCAAATAAAACATTTTTAAAACATTAGTTTATATTTTAATTAGGCTAAATCTAGTTTTTTCAAATAATAACTTGCCTGACGATTTATTTAGCAACTTGAGATATTTATAGTCCGCTCAGCTTGTAGAACCCTTCAGGTTCAAAAATGCATTTTTTTTTTCATGAAACACAAAGGTAGGCATAGTTATTTTTTTATTGCACATAAAACACTTTGTGTTACACTAGTCTACACTAACCACAGCCTCCGAAGCACCGCTGTAGGTCGACTCTCCGATGCTGGACTGGAGAGCCGTCAAGTCGGTGACAGGCCATCGATGCGAGAGCAGTCTGCGGGCTTACTGGGCTCCGTCAGTCCGTGAGAGACTGAAGATGAAATAACGAACGAAGTCGCTCATTGTAGGCTATGTAATATCTAACTAACGTTGACTGCCTGTTGCTATGGTTACTCACACAGCTGTTGTAGGCAGCGCATTTATTTATTAATTTCGAATGGTAAACAGGCAGTTTCACCAGAACTACTTTAGGTGTCCTCTATCACTTTTTAACGGACACCCTGCAGCCAATCAGAATCGAGTATTCACCCAGACCATGGTATAAATAGTAAATATATATATGTAGTATGTACCAATTTACTAATGCAATTTACTAATGCTCACACTCGGTCTCTCACGCGCACTGTCACTCAGTCTCTCTCGCGCGCGACACAATCGGTAGGCGCGCGCTGTTGCTCGCACGCAGACACACTCGCGGTCTCTCTCGTGCACTGTCGCTCGCACGCAGACCGTAGGTCTCTCTCGCGCACCTGGGCTCATGGAGGCACGTGATCAGACACTGGTTTACGGTGCGCTAGATTGGCAAAAAAAAAAGCTTTCTGTGAACTGAATGACGCATTTAAAATATCGCTCGATCACGCGAATTTGATCGTGGGAAGCCAAAATCGTGATCGTGATTAAAATTCGATTAATCGTGCAGCCCTACCAGATATTGTTTTGTGGTCCGGATCAGCACGCATTGTTCAACTGATAGAGTTAACAGTGCCATGGGAGGATGCGGTAGATGAGGCATCTGAGAGGAAGAAACTGCGGTATGCTCATCTGGCCACTGAAGCAGAACAGCGAGGATGGAGAGTCCAGGTTTATCCAGTGGAAGTGGGTTGTCGAGGTTTTGTGGCACACTCTACAACCCGGTTCCTCAGAGACGTCGGATTCAGTGGCCAAGAGTTGCGTCGCACAGTAAAGAACTTATCTGAAGCTGTGGTTGAGACGGAAAGATTCTAGCTGGCTGTGTACAGGCCGCCACGCTACGGTTTCATAGAATTCTTGAAAAACTTGAAGAGTCTGTTGGTTCATTTGTATAGGTTGTATAGTATTTACAGTCATTACGTTCCTGTGTATATTGCGTGAATGACGGGTGGTTGGGCAGATATTGTGTTTTGCGGTAGGTGGTATGCCATACGGAACCGTTGCCACTGAAACTGCATATTAACGCACCAGTGGGGCTCGACAGCCTTAGTCAAACGGGTTGGCGCGTATGGTTGGGTTGCGGAGAGATTGTGAGATTGTGGTTAGGTCTCAGCAGCAGGAGGGATGTAGAGGTCAGTAAGCTGGGCTGAGTTGAGTGGGGGATGGAGGGGGGTGACTCTGGGACGCCAGAGTCACTGTAGAGCCCTCTTGAGGTGTCGTGGGCTAGTCGACGAAACACTGAGGACGGAAGGTGCCCACTTGAAGACCCTAGAGATGTCCCCTACTTGGCTCAATCCAGACGGTTGTCGTGCTGGTCCACTAGGGAGACCACACTGTAGTTGCAGCCGTCGTGTGTGCTGACGCGCCAAGTGCACTGCAGCCGTTAACGCCGGACAGAAGGGGAGTCACACCACCATATGGAAAGAAGTGTAAATGGATGGAGAAGCATAGTTTACTGTAAAGCTACGTCTTAGTGTTGCTTATCTTGGCGAAAGCCGAGTACAAATCAGCATGAAGTTTTAACATCTACTCTCGTGTAATGGAAATCATAAGTTGAAATGACATAAACATCCAAGCTACTTGTTACAAATGTCTGTTACTTTAATTTCCTATTATCACTGTAAAGCAGCTTTGGAACAATCTACATTGTTAAAAGCGCTATATAAATGAAGATGACTTGATGCATGTTATGAATCTTTAAATAAACATAACATAATCTATACAATTATGTGCATAGATAAACAATTATATATTCTTAACTTTGTTCGACGCTGATGTAATTACCTTTTTGAAAGTTTCTGTGCTCCAGAGAGCACTCACTAATACTTTCACTTTAACACGAAACGGGAAACTTATTATTATTCTTGTATGCGCTGCCCAGTTCCACCTAATTATAAAAATAATTATAAAAAAATTATATGATCAATAAGTTATGACATGTTTTTGCATTGCTTTGGCTCATCAAAATAAGTTAAGCAATTTTTGACTTTTTTTTTATAAGTTATACAAGATTCAACTAAGTCAGTTTAATGTAATTTAAGTTGAAATGACATAAACATCCAAGTTGATTGTACTGAAAAATTTAAGGCAGCAAAACATTTTTTAAAGTGTGGCGAATAAAATCGAACAATTTATTAGCCAGTGGCTAACAATAGAGATTATTTAGTCACCTAGTGAGAAATTTAGTCCAAATGTTGTTACTAAAGCATTTTTTTGTTTCTTTCAGGAAAAAAGAGTGATGATCCTCTACACCCTGACTATGTGCCAAGTTTATTCAGTTTCACGCCCACCGCTGATCGAATTCGGGCTGTCAACAACCTGGAAAGATATCAACGATTTCGAGAAGTTTCTGTGAAAAGATTTGTCAGTGCCAACACAAGTAAAGAGCTAGCTGCAACAGCTCTCATGAACCTGCATCAAAGTTCTGCTTTAAAGAAAGAGCTACAGGCGGTTGAAATCCAAGACACTGAGGTCCAGACGGTTGAAGTCCAAGGCACTGAGGTCCAGACGGATGAAACACACAGGGACATCTCCTCTTTACATGAACAGATCAAATCTTTAAACACTGAATGCCAATTACTGAGAGAAAAAGTTTACGGATTAGAAAGTGACTTAAAACGTCATTCTCTTGATCCGTCGCATTTTGATGACAGCAAAATGAAAATTTTCACAGGACTACCCAATTTACAGACTTTCATGCTATTGTTCAGTTCTGTGTCATCAGTTGTTCCTATTAGTGCAAAACAGTCGCTCAAGCCTACTCAGGAACTACTTCTTACTCTGATGAAGCTGCACCTCAAACTGTCTGAGGAATTCTTAGGTCAGCTCTTCAGGATTCATCAGTCAACGGTATCAAGAATTCTTCGACGTTGGATACATGTCCACGGAGCTTTTAATTCCTTAATGTAAAATAAAGGCCTTAATTAGCGTTAAAAAAACGCTAGTTGCTTTTTGAAATCGTAAAACTGTCATTGCAGCGACTCGCAGTAAATGCCATTTCACACAAACTCCATCCGTACCTGTGCTGTGAGTTTGAGTCACATTTAGAACACAACATGTGTCAGATTTACTTTTATTTACGTTAGCTTAAATCTCAAACTTTTTTTAGTGGGGAGAAATTGACTGCATTTTACCCGATTCGTAAGCAGATGTGAATGCTGTAGTTTGAGACGCCTTGCCGAATGTAGTGGGTTACTTATTTCATCAATATTAGACAGTGGAAAAATGTACATTTTGTAAATATTCTTTAATGTTATTTAAAGGGATAGTTCACTTTGAAATTAATTTTTGATATGTTTTAGCTTACCTCAAGGGCATCCAAGATGTAGGTGTCTTTGTTTCCGCAGTATTTTCAATTTTGATATTTTTAGGTCAAACCGTTCTTGTCTGTCAGTCATATAATGCAGGTCTATGGTCACCACCTCAAAGAGCATGCACAGAGAAGTCCAAATTAAACATGATTTAATGACTCGTAAATGTAAGTACACATTGATGGCCTAAGACACGAAACGAGCGGTTTGTGTGAGAAAACATACAGTATTTATATAGTTTTTACCTCTTGTAACGCACAGATCAGCCCTCAGATCACTTGGATGTGGCTGTGGTTACAAGAGGTAAAAACGATATAAATACTGTTCGTTTTCTCACACAAACCGCTCGTTTCGTGTCGTAGGCCATCAATGTGTACTTACATTTATGAGTCATTAAATCATGTTTAATTTGGACTTCTCTGTGCATGCTCTTTGAGGTGGTGACCATAGACCTGCATTATATGACTGACAGACAAGAACGGTTTGACCTAAAAATATCAAAATTAAAACTACTACGGAAACAAAGACACCTTCATCTTGGATGCCCTTGAGGTAAGCTAAAACATATCAAAAATTAATTTCAAAGTGAACTATCCCTTTAACAGTATTTGTGTATACTAGTTTTGCATTTTTTGTGTGATTGGCAAATGGCAAGCTTGACAAATAAAAATGTTACTACGCTTTATGGTCTGCAGAGACTTTTCTTCTACAGTTTTGACTATTTCACTAGTTTTTATGCCATCAAAGTGGTTTAGATGTGCTAATTATTCAGCACTACATTTCGTGTAAACCATTTTCCCAACAGTTCTGGGAACACACTTGGAAAAAACGCAATAATCTTGGTCTTAATAAAGATGGTCTTAATAATGCCGCGGTCAGACTAGACTTTGAGCATGCAAAATTTGAACAGACACTGCAACTGTCATCTTGTTTGAAACAGTTCAACATATAATTCAACCGAAATGTAAAAATATTCTACTTTACTGCAGATTTAAAGTTTGCATTCTGGTAATTTAGCTAAGATTTCACACCATACATATTGATCTTCTATTGCTCACGTATTCACATGATACGAATTTCGTAGGTTAGAGTTTACCAAACAAAGTCCAGTGCAGGTTCATCAAAATTGTGGTGTTTAGATGACATGATGTCTTGCCTCATTTGCCTCGGTCTCCTGCTGAATGCCCCACCTGGAAATATTTAATAAAACACAGTTTAAATGTATTATATAAACATATCAATAGTTACTCTGCAGCAGGTTTTTTTATGAGAGGTTTCATCATTCCCATCCTTGACTGAAAAATATCTTTTAAACTTTAATAAATTAGTTATTCCTTGTTGGCTGCAGTTTTAAACTTTGCTGACTCTGGGTATATACCACACCAAACTGGGAAGCAGTTATCCTGCCTCATCTGTAGGTCTACCAGATTTGAGAGCCTTACAGCTCTGACTAAAGCGAGAGTTATTTGCTCGCTCTCTGTTGCTATAATAATATTTTTTGCTTTTCATTCTGCTAAGATGCATCAGCAACTTACTGCAAAGTGTCAGGAGTGATAACTCATTCAAATGACACAAAATGTGTAATGATTGGGGGACACAGTCACCGAGTTTATAACCAACCTTGCTCTAACACACCTGTTTTTCTAACAGGTTTTATGTTCTTTTCTCAAATGTATAACTAGTCAATCTTATAAGCTTGATGAAGTCACTTACAATTTATTTCACTTTTTGTGATATTTTATAGCACAAAATTGTGAAGGCTACATTTTTAAGCACAGAGCAAAATTGGAGAGCGTGAAAATGACATTTAAAAAATCCAGAGGAACTTGGCATATCCGTGTTGATTTTATGATTTAATAGTCTTCTGCTATGAATTGAATCTTCTTAATTTCATTACAAGCAAACAATGAATGAATTTACTATCAATAACATTTTGTGTTTATTTTGTTATTGATGTTTGTTCAATATTTAAATACACAAAGAATAACTTCACACAAAAGACTGAGTCTCGCTGTATCGCTCAGGATGCACTGCAGTGTCTACTCACAGGCGCGATCCCACTACTGATCGACACGGGGACTTTGACCTGCTCCGTCTCCGACCTGGGCCGGTTCACCCCTCCTTAGGCGACCTGGTGGTCCCGGGCTCCCCCAGAATCACCATATCGATACCGAACTTAGTGCGGACACCCGATCGACATAGTCCACTGCAGTCCAGAACCCCTGAGCTCAAGCGATCCTCCAGTCTCAGCCTCCCAGTAGCTTGGACTACAGGCGCGCGCCACTGCACCCGGCGAGAGCTGCGAGAATCAGCGCTGCTACTGAATCTTCTAGTGGCTTACAGGGACATTTCAGCGCCATCTAATGCATGAAAACAGATAATATTGGGAGGCGACGGTACATTTTAAGTAGGCTATAATAGTTCGAATCTCAAAATTAGGCATACAAAGGCGTACATTTTAAACATAAAAAGTCTGCTTTTTTAAAGTGTAAATTGCAGGTTAACCACCACAACCAATTAATTGATTTGAAGGAGTCCCTTCTGGCGTCAAGCAGGCCTCTATACAAGACCAATATGTATAAAGCCAAGCCAGGTTGGAATGAATATGTTGAAGAGTTTCATGCGGAGGCTAGAAGGGCTTTTAACGCTTGGGCTGAGTCAGGTAGACATAAACATGGTCCCTTATTTGAATATAAGAAACAAGCAAATGCACGTTTTAAATATGCCCTACGTTTTATAAAGAGGAATGAGAACACAATGAGGTCGGACTCACTTGCAAGGAAACTGCAAAAAAAGAATCCAAATGATTTCTGGAAAGAAATCAAAAGAATAAATAATTGTAAAACATATTTGCCAACGAATATTGATGGTATAAGTGGCCAAGAGGAAATTACTCAGGTGTGGCAAAAACATTATTATGAGCTGTTCAACTGTGTTAAAAGTAATCCGCTTGCTGTAGGCATCATTGACAAAAATGAAGATGTGACTGTTTCCTCTCAAGAAGTCTATGATGCAGTTATGATGTTAAAAGATACCAAGGCATGTGGTATGGATAAGATATCTGCTGAACTAAAATTTGCGAGTAGAAAACTTTGTCCTCTTCTGGCAATGTGTTTTACAGGGTTTTTAGTTCATGGTATTTTACCTGAGTCTATTTTATCTGTGATCTTAGTGCCTATTATTAAAGACAAAGCTGGCAAAATAAATAGCATGGATAACTACAGGCCTATAGCACTAGCCAGTATTATATCCAAGGTCTTGGAGAGGACCTTACTGCTCAAGTTGGAACAGTTTGTCCTGACCATTGACAACCAGTTTGGTTTTAAACCTAAACATGGCACAGATATGTGTATTTTTGCATTAAAGGAGATTCTAGATTTATATAAAAGGCATAATTCTACCATTTTTATGTCTTTTATTGATGCCTCTAAAGCTTTTGATCGTGTAAATCATGAACAATTATTTTATAAGTTACTCAACAGAGGAGTTCCCAAATCTCTGGTGAGAATTCTGGCTTTTTGGTATGCTCATCAGTCAATGCATGTGAAATGGGGTAACTTTGTGTCTGCTCCATTCAATGTATGCAATGGAGTCAGACAGGGAAGCATTCTGTCCCCCTTTCTTTTTAATGTTTATATGGATGAGTTATCAAAATTGCTAAACAGCTGTGGAACTGGTTGTATGGTTGGTAATACTATCATCAACCACTTAATGTACGCAGATGATTTGGTTATCTTCTGTCCATATAGTGCTGGCCTTCAACAGTTACTGAGGGTCTGTTCTCAATATGGCTCAGATTTTGACATTAAATACAATGCAAAGAAGAGTAATGTTATGATTGTCAGGAGTAGGGAGGACAGGAAACTATTATTTCCTGTATTTTCTCTGTCTGGTATTGACCTTATGGTATGCGATGAGGCTAAATATTTGGGACACTATATAACTGAGGACCTGTCTGATGATAGGGATATTTATAGACAGTGTCGTATGATATATGCACAGGCGAATACGTTGATTTGCAAATTTTGTATGTGCTCTGGATCTGTAAAGATTGCACTTTTTAGAGCATATTGCACCCCGATGTATACTGCCCATTTGTGGCGGCGCTACAGAAAGAGCAGCATGCAGAAACTCAATGTAGCATATAATGACGGAATGAGGCTGTTGCTTGGGGTGCCGCGATGGAGTAGTGCAAGTCAATTGTTTGTCAGTGTTGGCGTGCCCACCTGTTCTGCTGTTCTGCGCAATCTCATGTACAGATGTATGTGTAGGTTGTTAGACTCTGCAAACAGCATAATTTCAACATTGACAAACCCGACCCTAAGTTCAGTCAGGTTCTCCTCTGGTATGTGGAACCATTGGCGTTTTAGCCTGTATGTAAACATGTGATATTGTGTTTTTTTTTTTTTTTTTTTTTTTTCTTGTCTGTTACTGTGTGTGATTGGACCATGTGTGTCCTTAATAAAGTTTTGATGATGATTGATGATTGATAATGTGTAAATTAAAGTGCTCAATTTGTATATATGTACAAATTTCTGTCTTAAAATGCGTTAAAATAACATTTATTGGGGTTTCTTCAAAGGTAGCATGTTTTTTACCGTAACTGGGTGATGACGTCATAAAAGGGATCATGCGGGCGGTAATGCACTGTGTGTGCCGGTTGAGGGAGAATAAAACGATTCGCGGGACTCCCGCAAACTAGAAATATTTATGAATAAAACATAAAAACGAATACATTTTTATTCATCTGTTGCAGAAAAGCAATAAGAACAACTAAAACAAAATAGAAACGGTTTACAGGCAGAGTTTCTATTTCTAACATGTCTGCAGCGTTGAGCGATGTAGCCAATCACAGACATATGTGTTGATTTCTTGAACGCAATAATGGCCAATCAGAAGCATTTACGATGGACTCCCCTCACCGCTCAAAACGGACTTTTTGTTCAGTGC